AAAAATGTGTGAAAAAAATTAAAGAGTAATAAAACTTTTCTTTGTATATGTATATAATTATGAAGTATGTAATTACTTAGTATATAATATGTATATAAGGGCGTTAATTGTTTGCTTTTCTTTTTAAATATTTTAATCAAATTTAAAAGATTTTATATATAAAAGAAAAAAAAATAATTTAATAAATTTTTTGGTGATATGAAATAAAATTTATTTATGAATAAAATAAAAAAAAAAATTTTTTTTAATTAAAAAAATTAAATATTTTTATACTTTTTAATCTAAAAAAATTTAAAATTTTAAAGTTGTCTCAAAAAAACATTAATATTTATTTTTAATTGATTTATTTATTTATTCGTTTCTCATATTTTTCAAAAATTAAATTAAAGTGTTTTTATTTTAGAAATTTTATTCTAGGTTTATACAAAATATATTTTTGCGAAGAAAAATTGTTATATAGTGAGGGAAATTTTTTCTTGCATAAAAATGATTGTTGTAGTAGCACAAAGTTTGGTTCTAAAGCTATTAATGCAAGATATTTCGCAGTAAAAACATGGTATGTACAGTAGATTCGCCGTTAAATTAATGCGGACTCTAATGAGCGATCAGTTAAATATGTAACATAAGCTAAAATCCTTTTATATGAATTACAATACAATTTTTGTCATAAAATTCTTTTCCGACATTTTTAAGTTCATATATATATAAGTACGAGTCTACTGTAAGTACATTTAATTTTATAACGTTTTACATTAAATTGAATATAAAAATTGTATATAAAAAAAAAATTTTAAATTTAATTTAATATTTTTGAACTGGAATTTTTTTCGAAAAGGGAGGAAAAAAAAAAAAAAAAAATATTCTTAATTTAATTTTATTTCAGATCACCCAAAAATTTAGCGTGAAATAGTTTTATTCAAAATGTCATTAGATTTAATTACATAAATATATATTATAAAATATAATATTATTATTTTATTTGTATTTATGGTGTATTTAGTTATAATTTAAGCTATTTTTTTGTTGTTGTCGTTTCATATAACATACGTCGTTTTGTTGTAAGAAAAATTAACAATGTTAAATATTTTTTTTTTTGTTTTAATTTAATCAAAATTATCTAAAAAGTGCCTTCATCAAATTTTTTGATTAGATTTTGTTTTTTATACAAAATCATTTTTAAAAACATTTTTTTTTTTTTTTTAATTTTAGTTTATTGTTTTTTTTGGACTTTAGTTTTATTTCTTGTTCTTTTCTTTTGAAAATGTAATGGCAGCTTAAGTTATTTTGTTTATTTTTTATTTAATTTCCTTTTTATTTTCTTTTTTATTTTGGTTTATTGTAAAATATTTATTTCACAGATTTTAATTTTAAATAAAACAAATAACAGTACATATGAAATACAAAACAACAGAGTGAAAACAATTTTGTTTTTAAAAATGAAAGATTATTTTTCAGTTGTTTTTAATATTTTTGTGGAAGAACGCACCCTTATATGTATTATTTTTAGTGCAAGGCAGTGCAATAAGATCTTTTGTTAGATTTTTTTTTTTAGTAAATGCACAATTTTTTATTTATCTTTAATTATTTTTTTATTACATTTAAGTATGCATTTTTTTTTTAATATTTTGTACAGAAATTTTAAATTTATAAATTAATATTTGTAGGAAAATGAATAATATTTAAATTTGTATTAAGAGTAAAGAATTTACAATACATTTTAATTGAATTGAAATGAATTGAATGCTTATTTTAATAAAATTAAATATAATAAATATAGAAATTTTCAACAAAAATACAACGGCAGGGCTGACTATTTTTAAAAACTTTAAAGTCTATTTTATTGCGTTTATATTTATTGACTTGGATTTAAGAAATATTAAAATTTGAATATTTGACGTTTGCATTTCAAACTTGATTTGTAACTTCGGAATCAATTATAACCTAATTCTCGCAATTTTTCCGAATTTTATTGCTATGAGTTTAGTTCATGATGGCTGTTTATTTAAAGATGATTATTTTTTAGTCTTTTAAAAATTCACAATAAAATTAAAATATTTTTTAATTTTTTTTTTTTGTTTGTAATAATCACTGACGAAAAAAGAAAAGACAGTAAAATTGTGAACAGAATAATGTTATACAAATATTACATTTTGCAAGCAAGCATATAATAATTAGGAATACTCGCAATATGATTCATACTCGTTCATAAATTTAAATTTTCCAACAAAATAACGGTGCATTTTTATACTTATAATGTAAATAACAAAAAGATCTTAATATTCGGCACTAGCTTAATTTTTTTCTTTTGTGTTTTACATTAAACTTTTTTGTTTTTTAAAATATTGCAATATAATAATATTTTATGGCTGTGTTTTTGGTTATTTGATATTTTTTATAATTTTGAAATAATAAAATATTCACGCATTTTGTAGCTTTAATTTTTGTAGTTAATTTTAATTTTTGAATAAATTTGATCCGAATAAAAAAATTATATTCGGGTGAAGAAAAAAGCATTGAAATTAAGAGTATATCATTCGTTATTGTAACCTCTATTATACAATTGTTTATTAATAAAATTATATGCATTGCATTATAAATATTTAGATATTATGTACATGCATACTTACATTTAGAAAATAAACTATTTATATTGGAAAATAAACGAAATAACACATTTGTTTTTTAATTTTATCACAAGTTATTATTTTTAAATATGTGTAATTACATCATGACTATATTAAATAATTTCTAATATAGTTTTAAAAGGTGGGTTTTAAATTTCTAAAATTATTTTTAAATTTTTAATCAAAAATAAATTATTAAGTAAATTTGAAGAATTTTTATTAAGTTTGATTATTACGTTTTATTTAATAAAATTAAATTACTTCTGTAATTTTTATTTTCAATATTAAAATAGATATTGCCTATAATTTGGGACATTATGTTCGAATATTAGAATATATTAATATTGTATAAATCTTAATAAAATACTTAATTCTGAAATTATAGGGGAATTAATTTATAAAAGAAAACCCTTATTATCAATTGTTTAAAATTTTTGAAATTTTCTTATGGGTTTTATTTACTTTTATTATCAATTTTTTATAAAAAGTAAAATTTACTAATAATTAAAAGAGAGGGGCAGTAAATTGAGTATGCTAACAATTCCTCTAACAATTGTTTTATTTTTTTGGGAAATTTATAGTGTTTCGCGGTAGTATGTATGTTCCGTTCGAATGTAGGGTGTAAACTCTTGTAAAAGTTATATTATAAAGAAATATTTTGAGAGAAAAGAAAACGTCCAGGAATGTGGAAAAGAGTTTATGATTAAATATTGAAAACCCAAAAAATATTGCCTGCATGTGAGGATAATATGCTTAATTTAAAAATTAATTTATGTATACATTATTTGAATTAAGTACAATAAAATTTATATATTAACAATTTCTTTTTATAATTATCCTATAATTTTTATTTTGTCAGAATAAAAATCTTAATATCCCTTATTATATAATAAAAAATCATCTAAATTTAAATGAACATTTTAAGCTTTTTGCAATTAAAAAAATTTGACAATTAAAGTAACAATTTGTATTTGAGAATTTCAAAAGAATTTTTTTTTCTAGTTTCAACAATCGTTTTCATTGTTTTGTAAATGCATGTACATTAAGCAAATTTAAACATACTTATATATGTATATAATTTATAGAGGATACAACAATGATTCATATATAATATGTATGTATGTAAATTTTAATAATTCTATGCGTTAAAAGCAAAATTTTGATAAGCACGACTATCAGTTAATTAATTTTATTATTTACTGATGGCATTTTTTAGTTCAAAAAATTTAAAAATTTTTTATTTTTTTTGTTTGTTTTTTTTTATAAAAGGGCAAAATTTTACTGTACGTATATATGCATTAATGTATATGTATGTAAGTATATATATATTTATATTTTATAATTTTCTTTTCAATGATTTGATTTATTTTTAAAGTATTTTAAACAAATTATTTGAATAAAATTAACAAATTATTTTACAATTCAAAAATAAAAAAGGGAAAATGTTGTAATTTTTTTTTTTCTTCTAAAAAACAAATTTAAAATCATATTGTAAGAGAAAACTTAATGATAATTTGTAATATATTTTGTCGTTTTTTTTTGTGTTTTTGTTTCTTTTTTTTGTAATTCAAAACAAAAAAAAATTCTTTAACATCACAGTGATATTTTCTTTCTTTTTTCACATATAATTTTTAGTTTTGTTGTATAAAATTTTTGATTTTAAACTTAAATTAAAGAGAATTTTGTAATTTGAAAAATTTTATTGTGAATTATTTGAAAATAAAGAAAATTTCCTATTACAATTAATAAGGTAAATATTAACAATTGCACTGTAACTTTGATCAATTCGTTTCAAGTTAATTTTAAAAATTTGTTATAAATTTTTTTAATTTTAAATAATCTTTCATTGTTGCAATCAGTATCAGTTAATTGTACATACATATTATCATCTAATGAATACCATTTAATTGTGTAGCATATGAAATTTTGAATTGAAGATTTGTGATTTAAAAAAATTGTAAGTAAATTAGCAATTCAAATTACTATTATAAGAGCTCAAACTCAAGAGCACCGGAACTCTTTGAGTTTTCTGAATTTCATATGATTTTTTGTAATTAAAGTCAATATTTGAATTGGTATTACTCAGCTAATTTAAATTGGCTATTAATATCTATTCTATAAAATTACCTTATTAACAAATAGGTATTATTTTTCTAGACAAATGATACTTTTTACAACAATTTTATTAATTTCTATAACAAAATTTTCTTAATTGAAGTTAAAAATCAATTTTAGCATATACAACCAACTATATACTATTAAATAATTACTTTTTTTTTTTCAAAAATTTTAACATAAATTTTATTTTTTAATAATACCTTAATTTAAAATTTAAATATAAGGATGTAAATATATATTTATATATATATTTATTATATGTGTGTATATATATACTTTTTTGTTTTATATCCTTTTCAAGGATTTTTTTTTGTTTTTGTTTTTATATATACTTATAATATTTTTTATATTAATTCACTTATATTTTCTATTTTTTAAATATTCTCAAATTTGTTTTTAAACATTGTGTGTTTTTATTAGAAATTTTTTTCTCTAATTTTACTTGTTTTATTTTCAATTTTGCCTTTTTATATGTATATATATATATTTTTTTTAATTTTTTTTATTTAATTATTTTTAATTTTAAAATTATATTAATATATATGACTTTTTTTTTATTTTTGTTTTTTTTTTTTAATTTATTATTTATTTCGTGTTTTAATGGATAAGTTTCGTTTTATAATTTTTCATTTCAGATGTGTGTGATTAAATTTTTTCCAAATCCAAAGAAAATTGTTTTTGTTAGAATATTAATATTAATAATAATGATAATAAAAATATCCTGCCCAATAATATTTGGGCAAAGTGTTCATCACCAACAAAATACTGAAAGCTCACCAGAATGTTCATTTTGTCGCCATGAGCTGACACTACGGGCTTTAAGCTAAAACAAAAAAATAATTTTTTATAATAAAGATTTTTAATTAACATATTTAAATAAGGACACAATTAAGAAAATTTATAATTAAGAAAAATATATTAAAGGAAAATTTGTATACCTGTTGCATTTTATCAAAATCCAAACATGGTCGATGTGGTCTTTGTAATCTTTGTGGAGCATGATGTGTTCGTGATGGTCGCCTTCTTGGTGAAATTGCACAATGAAATAATTTCGCCGGTGGACTAATTGAACGAACATCAGATGATGATGCGCTAATAGAAACCATTGTTGCTGTTTTATTAACAGCATTTGATGGTATCAATTGTGTTATAGAACTCGATGTATTACTATTATTACCATAAAATTGATGATGATTATGATGATAGGGAATAAAATGATTAAAATGTCTTATACCACCAATTCTATCACTTATATTAAAATTTTTCTCTTCTAATAATCTAAATGGTGGTGGTTTCTCTATATTATATTTACCATTTGAATTTAATAAATTATTTAAAGAATTCCCTATTGCTGATGATGTTGTAGGTGATTCATTAACTGTACTTGTTACTATTGATGATATTGTATTATTAGGATTTGTTGTTTCTATTTGTGTAGTTAAAGATAAATTTGTAGTTGTAATATTATTAGTACTATTATTAATTAGATTCGTACTATTATTCAAATTTTGATGATGGTGATGATGATGTTGATGATGATTTGAATGATTATTAAGATGTTGATTATGTAAATGATGTGAATTAAGTATATTATCATTATCATTAGCACTATTATTTGTGCCACTAATTCCACCACATGCACCAAAATCAAAATTTTGATCACATAAAAAATCTTGTGTACTGCTATTATGGCTATCCTTGGTTGAATTGCTATCACATGAAATTTTAATATTTTCAATGCCTCGGCTAGTTTCAGTCAAAATTAATGGAGTTGTAGCACGAAACATTAAATTTAAATTACGATTTGGCTTTAATGCCTCAAGAGGTGGTGATGTGCGAAAATTTACTGGTGTGGGAACTGATTCCAACAAATTTCTGACCTAAAATTTAATAAAATTATACAATGGTATATTTAAAAATTATATACACAAAAAAAATATACTTCATCATCAGAACTGTGAGGTAATGAACGTTTTCTAGTTTCTGATATAGTAGTTGAGCTAGCTCGTTTCGGTGACGATTCTGTTTCAAAAACTTCCGGTTCAATTGATGATGTCTCTGAAGCAACAGATTCTGCTGTACCCCGTTCTGATAATATTTTATTAACATCCTCAGAAGATAAAGTTAATGCAGCAGCTGCTGCTGCTGCTATTGATGATGGTCCATTAATAACTTCAAGTTCTTCTTCTGAACTATGTTGATCATATAAGAGGTGGGCCGTTTGTGTCATTATTGAAGTTGCTGGAGATTCAATTGAACAGTCCGTAGGGGATAACGTATCTAGTCGAGAACTCATACCTTAAAAATAGAAATATCAAATTATTTTTCTAGAAAAAGTTTGTTTTTGTGTTGTTTAACGTACTTAAATCTATATCAAGTTCTAATTTAAAGCTGTTTTCTTCGTTTTCCAATTCACCATCAGATTCCGTACCAGAATCGTGTTCATCAATCTGTAATAATTTAAAGACAATATAGTTAAATTTGAATAATAGTATAAAATCTAGTTAAACTAAGTAATGACGATTGGTAATTTAAATATCAAATAACGAAAATAATGCTAATTTTTTCTTAAAATAATTTATAATAAATTTTTTAAAAAGTCATAAAAATCTATGAAATTTAAGGGAAAGTCTTATAAAAGATTTTTTAAAGCGTTTGTAAAGTCGATTAATCGGTTTCAATTCAACATTTAAAAGAGTAACGTTTAAAAGAGTACGAGTTCTATAACAATGAAGTCTAACACATCTATGTGTAATTTTATAGATCTGTACAATGAATACTAGCCACTGTTGTCCATTTGTCGAATTGTCCTTTCAGCCGTAACTCTAAAACCAATAAAACTATTTTTACCAAATTTTCACATTTGATTTATAAAAGCAGAAAGACGAGGTCTTTAATTTGAATTAGTTTGAGCCCTCGTACCCTCGCACAATAGGTAGCTGGTAATAAAAATTTGAAAGCAATTTGGCTGTACATCTTAAAATATTGAACTTCAAAAAAAAAAAAATTCACTATATCTCGAAATTAGAACTACATTTTATAAACTGCCAGCATTGTAAACGCTCAAAAATATAGCCAACATTCTCAAAATAATTTAATCAAAATTATTAAAGTTCATATGAAGATTGCTACAAAGTTATCACTTGAAAAATAATTAAATTAGGAAAGTAGTCGGTATAATTTAATTGATGTACTTAACACATACTATCTTATAAACAAAATTACCATTTAAAAAAAAAAACTATGTAGTGGATTTAGGTGAATTCTATACCTAAATAAAAGTTTCGTTTTCAATCGCATAATTTTTAGTTGAGAAAAATTAATTAAAAAGTTCTAGTTCTAAATTAAATGATATATGTAATTTGCAAATAATTTAAATTGCAATATTTAAGTTAAATATAATTAACAAATCTTGTTGAAAAACTAGTTACATTATGTTTGATACTTATTTTTCTATTCAAGTCTAAAGTATTTTCAATTATCATTTTTGGATTTATACATAGGTCACTTTCAAAACAAAATTTTTCTAAATATAGAAATTAATTATAGGATCTATGTAAATAAGTATATATATCCCGTTATATTTTATTAAATTCTATAAAAATCTTAAAAATAATTCTTTAATATTGTAATATATATGAGCAATATTAATATTATTATAAATTAATTAATTAACAAATTGACCTAGTACTAAAGTTTCAATTTGATATTAATATTTTTGTTACACAAGTAAAAATTTTTTTTTTTAATTTAAATAAATTCTTAATTACTTTTTACTTAATGTAATAAAATTTATAAAATATTTAATAAATTAATTTAATTTAGGTGCTAAAAGTTACTTAAAACAAAAATTTATTAAATATTTTGAATAAATTTAAGGAATAAATCAAATCAAATTTTTAAAAAGAATAAAATTATTAGAAATAAAAAAAAAATTAAATAAATAACGTACGCACGTAAATTTTATTTGATTTTTCATTATTTTTTTTCTTTTATTTTTAAATTAAAATTTCGAAAAATTGCATTTCTTTATATTACAATGCACTCATATACAATACAAAGACGATATATTTATATATATATATTTTTATATATAACAACTCAGTCTTAAGATTTATTATATATATATATATATATATACATGAATATATAATACGTAAATTCATACGTACATATATATATGTATATATATATATATATATATATATATGTGTGTACGTATGAATATCTCTCGTAAAGGGTTAACTTTATTATTTTATATTTCGAAAAATTTCTAATGCGCCAGTCATTCTTTTATTTATTCGTCTTCATATTTAAATATTTACATATATATATACATATTTACATATATATATATGAATGCAAGTAGAATTTATACATACATATATTTATTTCATATAAGGAAAAATATAAAAAAATATTAATAAAAAAATTAAGAAAAATATTAAAATTGAAAAGTTAAAACTAAAAAATTCTTCTTAAAAATATTTTATTCTTTAAATAGTATAAAATCAAAACAGCAAAAATTTATAAAATATAACCGTTCCAGACAACGGTATATTAAACAAAAAAAAAAAAATACAAAAACAAAAAAAAACAGAGTAGCCTAGCAAAGGAGTAAATTTAAAGGAAAACACACATTAAAATTTTTCTAGCTGCACCCAAAATTGTATATATATGTGTGTATAGAATAATAATATGATGCAGACGACAAGGAAGAAAAATAAAAACAGAGAAATGAAAAGAGAAAAATTCTATAAATAAAATTTTAATATTTGAAAATTTTCTTAAAAAAATAAAAAATCCCTAATTGAAATTTTAATTAAAACTATTCTTGAGAGAATAATTTAAAAAATAATTTAAAGGACTAATAAGGAATAATTTTAAATTTTAATTTAAATTATTTTTTTATTCAAGATTTTTTTACGAGGATAATTTCAAAAAAAAATTTAATTTAAAATAATTTCTTATTATTCAACAATTTACGAATTCTTTTTAAATTAAGACTTTTTATTTTTTTTCGATTTTATTTTCGTTTTTAAATTTAAAGTAATTTTACTCTTATAAACTATATATATATATCACTCACACCCATTAAATTTATTCGTATATAAACCTATATATTGTAAATATAATTACCTACTAACTGATAAAAGATTAGAAAAAGGTATAAAAGAAGGAACTTACTTTTTCCTGTATGATTTCATTATTATCACTAATCGATTGCGAGCGTAATTTGTGCGTTAAATATTTAAGCATTTTTATGCTTTTATTTTCTTATTATTACTAATTTTTTCTTATTTAAATTTTACTAATTTTCTATTAATTATAATTACTTTTTTTTTGTTTGTTTTAACTACAATTAAATAAATTTTAAATTTTATTATTTTTCTTTAATTTTTTATTTTCTTTTGGCTTTTCTTTTACGATTGTTTTTTTCATTAAATTTCAAGTTTATATAATAATTGAAATCTTTAAGAGAAAATAAATACAATATTAGCTAAATATATTAAAATTATAAAAGGAACAAAAACAAAAAATAAAAATTATTGATGACAGTAATAAGTTCTTTTTCTTTGACGTTTTTTTTTTTTGTTGTATTTTATATTATACGAAAATAAATTTTTATATTTTTAGCCAATCTATGCATGTATGCATATTTAAATATTAATTTTCAGCACATAAACCTTTATATTTTGTAATAATGTTATATATATACATAATATAGTTATATGTATAAATCTAATTATACATATATTGAATATTTAAATTTATATCAAGGATATTTTGATTTTTTGATTTTATTTTATAAATGAATGCATATTTTATCAATATATCGTATTTTATAAATAAAGTAATATCAATTTTACTATTGATTATACATACAATACATGTGTATATACATATGTTATTTATATGATTAATTATTTTGATATAATAATGAAAATATATATATAACAATAAATGTGCATATATATATATATATACATATACCATTTATAAAAAATAATTAACTATTTTACAATAAATTGTATTTAATTATAATAATAATTATAATATTTATAATAATAATTAGAATATTCTTATTATACTTATTTATAAATATTAATAATTGTTAAATATATAATAATAATTAATATTTATATAATGGGTTTTTATATTTATTTTAAAGATCTATTCAAAAACATGAAACATGAGAGTTATTCCCGAAAATTTTTAATAATATAAGTACATATGTATATATATTTTTATATAAAAATTATAATAGCTAAATATTCATAAATAAGATGAAAAAAAGAAATATATTCTTAAGTGTAAAAATAGAAATTACTGAAATAATTTGAATTCTTTACATTTATATAATAAATTTTTTGATAACTTTTAAAATGTTTACTTATAAATTTCTACCAGCGTTTCTTATTAATTATGTATATATAAAATATATGATGATAATTTGTTGTCATGTAGCAGATATGCTTTATATTTATTGATAAGAAGTACATGAAATAAAAATGCATTTGGCACAGTTAACAAGCAATTTTTGATTGCACTGTGATTAGCAGTGATTGATTTTATTTTTGGGATAAACAATAAATGTGTAATTTTTGCTTATCTTATATGCGTGATCGCATATATGGTGAATATATATATGTATATATGTATATATATATATAATTGTATCCTTTCATTAAAAGAAAATATATCTAAAAATATTACAATTATATTTAAATGTGATCAAATATAAAAAATAATTTCAATAAAATTTTTTAACGTCATAGAAGAAAATTATTTCTGATAGATGTTGAATATATACGAAATACTCGTAACAATTGAATAAAGTATCTTTTTTGAAATAAAATAGAACTAGTCTTAATTTTAAAATATTTAAGATTATGATTAAATGAAAATATTATCTTATTCAAAAAAAAAAAAAAAAATTGTTTTTTTATATATATAATAATATATTAAACAGTAAATTATTAGGTACGTATTAAACAAATACTAAGAAATATTTTACTATATTTTCTAAGAAGAAAATTTGTAAAAATATTTGTATAATATTTAATATTGAGTATATACGGCATAAAAATGCAAATTTATAAAAATAGCACTTTATATATTAATGATGTGTGTGTTTATGTATAAATGTATATATATAAACTCTTATATATAAATTTATATATATGCACTCTTTTAAAACTTGCAATAAATATATGCATAAAAATAATATTTATATATATTGCATTTTGTATATTATGCATATCATGAATTGTTTATTTATATATATATATATACACCAATTATGTATATACATGATTTATTTATGGTTATTAATGCGCGTATATATACACATGATATATACTTGTTTAATAATTTGTATAGTATATTTGAAGATAAAGATGTTTTAATATATATCCATTTTATCCGGCAGAAATATTAAAATACTATATATACACAATATATTGGATGTGTAATTGTATGAATGTAGATGTATTATGTAAAAAAAAAAAATGTATAATTTTGCATCCTGTTTTTTCACTATTTAAAATGTATTTTGTTCAAGTTAAAAGTATTATTATTAAATATTTTTAAATTATTTTTAAATTTATTTTTATTTTAAATATTGAAAATTTTTGAAAAATTTCATAAAAATAATAAATAAGAAAAAAAAAATTTGGTTCTATAGACATAGAAAGCTTTATGTTTAATTTTTCTCTCCTTTTTTTTTAATTTTTTTATTTAAATTTAATTTTAAAATATTTATACACAAAATTTTTTGAAATTAATTTTTCTTTTACAATTTTCTATCCCATATTTTTTATTCAATTTTTTTTTCGTTTTTTTTTTTTTTAAGAAACTCTCACAAAATATATTTGCATATATATACAACTAAAATATTATATTATACTTCAAAAACTACTTAAATTTTATAGAATACTATATACAATATTTATAGTATCCTTGATTTGCGAAAAGGCTAATGTCCTTTTTAATTTTTTTTTCTTATTTTATTTTCATTGTTATTATTATTTGTGATTCCATATTTTTTTTCTCTCTGTGTATTTTGTTTTTTTTGTTTTCTTACTTTTCTTTTTCTTATTTTATTGTGCATTTCTGCATTTTCTTCGTGATTTTTATGTCTTTATTATTTTCACTTGTGTATCTTTTTTTTTTTTATTTTATTTTATTTTTTTTGCCTGTTTTTGTTTTATTGTATTTTTGCACTTTATATTTATGTATATATATATATATATATATATATAAATATATGAAATGGTTGCAAAAAAATTGAAAAAGAAAAGCAAAAAAAAATATTCCTATTTATTTTGCATTGCAAAAAATAAAAATAAGAAAAGAATAAAAAATCATTTTTTTTCTCTTATATTTTAATACCTGCATTTTATAAAATATGCATTTTTAAGTCATTGAAATGCAAACTCCATTTTTTATTTTATTTTTGAATACATTTTTCCCACATTTTTTTATTTTAAAATTAAAAATTTTTCAGAATATATTTTATATTTTTTATAATTTAATTTCGGCATTTTCTCATTTTTTTTTTTCGCTTTTCTAAATTTTTTCCTTTAATCTTTTTTTCTCATTTTTTCATTTAAAATTTTATTCACATATAAACGCGTATGTATATCTGAATTTAATTTTCTTAAATTTGCAATTTTCTTCCATATATCCTTTTTTTTTTGATTTCATGAGAAATTACTCGAACACACCATTACCATCACCATCACTCATAAAAATATCGTAAAATCAACAAAAAAAATGTTATAATAAAAAGAAGAAGAAAAAAACGGGAAAAAAGTTACTTTTTTTTTTTTAATAATTTTTCTAGTTGAGATTTCCGTGATTTTTTTTACACAAAAAAAAAGTACCGAATTAAAAAATTTAAATGAAAAATTTTATTTTTTTTTATAGAAAATTAAATTTTTTTTTCAGGAAAATTTTTCCATTTTGTAAAATATTAAAATTTTATTTCAACTAATTTAATTTTTTTTTGGTTATTTTATTTTCTTATATTTTTTAAATTGAATTTTAAACTTCTTTTTTATATTTTTAAATTTTTTATATAAATATTTCCTCTCTGATATGATTTAATTTTCCTTTTTTCTATAGAATTATGAAAAAAAAAAGAAATTATTTTTCTTTAATTATAATTTAAAATAACTAAAATCTTTTTCTATATTTTATCCGAATTTTAATACTTCAACATTTCAATGATGAAATTTAATGTGTGCAGAGAGAAAATTTTTTTTTTCCTTTCATAAAAAAATAAAACTATTTCCAGGACTCTTATCTCTATTATTTGTCATAATACACGAGAAGTATAAATGTATTAGTGTACATGATTTTTATATAAAATAGAAAATTTTTTTAACAAAGATAGAAAAAAAAAACATTTTGTAAATAAAAGTTTTAATTTACGAAAAAAAATTGGAAGTGAATTTGAGAATATTTTATATTGTGAATGAGAGAATTTTTAATTTCTACTGATAAAAACAATAATAATAACAATATTCTCTTATTCTTTCTTTTTCCTATATGCATTAAAGTGACAAAACAAAACATGCTTTTATTAAGAAAAATTAAGCGGTTTTACATAGTAAATGTATTCAATACAAGTATTTGGTGAAATATGAAAATATATTTAAATAATTTCCAATTTTTTCTGTATGATGAGAATGTAATTATTGTGCTATTATTGTAAATAATTATTATTGTCATCATTATATTACAGCACTTCCGATAAATTAAACGAATTGGAGTTCTGAAAATTCATTTAATTCTACAATTCATTCCAAAATTAGAAACCTAAAATCGATAATATTGTTTTATAAAATTTATCTCGAAAATCTTTAGTCTTATTTTTGGAAATTCTAAATTGGACGATTGCTGGAAGTACAAATAAAATTTTTATACGAAATTAATTTTTAGGGAAGATTTAATTATTTATTATTCTAATTTTATATAATTTTATTATAATTTTAATTATTATTATTTTTATTTCTCCAAATGTCTATTTTATAAATCGTTCTGAATAAGAAAATTGCGAAATATAATTAATGTATTTATGTCATATAACTTTCAAATGGAAGAAATGCTTTCCGTTAGCATATTCACGTAGAAAAATCTGATAATTCTCCTTTAATACATAACATAATATAAATTAAGCTGACATTTAAAAATAATTAATTTTTAACTAAATATTACAAAAAATTTAGATGTTCAATTCAAAAATGCGAAAAATAAAACAGTAAGCATTCTAATTCAGGCAAAATTTTAAATATTATGAATTTTCGAATTAATTGAAATTTCATTCTTCGTTTTGTTCGGTTAATGTGTTCAATAAAAATAAACCCTGTACATATTGTGCAATGTTTTATATTATTCAATTTTTATATATATATTTACGAGATGACGTTGACGTCTTGTGCATTGAGAAAATGTAAAGGGGAAGAAAATTTTATAATATTAATTTCGAAATTTCATATACGAAAATTATTCGAAATTACTAAAATATTTTCAGTATAATAATTTCTTTTTTATTTATCTTGCACGGATATATTTATGTGTATGTGTATGATTTGTGTTTTCCTCTCTTTACGTCAAAACTATTTCTATTTATTTTAATTGTCTGTTGACGCTTTAAGCACGAGGATAACATAAATTTGCTTATAGCGAGTGTTAAACTTTTCTTGTTTTACTTTTTAGATTTTCTTTGTATTCTTTTAATATTTTTATTCTTTTTGTTTTTTTGTAATTTTATTATATTCCTATTACATAATACATTTGTTATTATATTAAAAAAAAAAATTATTTTTAAATATTATATTTACCTTAATTTTTATAAAGTATAAAAGAGTTAAAATATTTATGTATGTATAGATAATATAAAATTTTCAATTGTGTATAATTATAAATGTTTATATATGTGTATGTACATATAAAATTTGTATTTATTATTGTATTTGTGTATACGTGCTTACTCACTGAATTTGATTTGGTCTTTAATATTTATAATATATGCTTATATATTATAGTATATAGATAATATTAGCACATTCGTTTGTTGATTATATTTTTACAATTTTCAGGATATAAAAATTTCTATCATTTCCTTTTTTCCGCTATTCAGTAAAGAAAAAAACATAAAATATTTTTTTTTTTTGGTTGTTCTTTGTTTTTCCATATACACAAATAAAAAATATACGAGTACTTATTTGTAGATATTTTAAGGATATATTTTAAGGATATTATATGTAAATATGTATGAAAAAAGTCATTCATAAAGAAATAAATTAAGTGCGTATTTTTAATATTTTATTATTATACATTTTTCATATAATATTATCCGGTAATAACGTTCACAAATGTAGTTCGAAAAGGTTTATATAATTGAAAGAAAATTAAATTAAATTATTTATACAAAAAATCACAAAAATATTTTCATTCAGAAGAATTTTTTTCATGTTAACTGATAAGATAACAAAATTTTTAATTATGAAAATTAGAAATTTTCGATTAAAGACGAAATTTATGGTGTACTCCTAATATTAGAACAAAAATATTATTGTGCTTTATCAGTATATGAAATTTAAGTATTATTTCCAGTACTTTTATTGAAAAATTAATAGAATTTCTAGACATTTTCATACTTTTTAAAATATGGTTTTAATTATGCCAAAAAAAATTTAGTTTTTAATAGAATTTCATATTTCAATATTTGAAATCTTAAACCTTACAATTTATGATTTAGCTTCTATATTAATAATTTCTTAAATTTCATTATCAATTTATTTAGAAAAGAAAATATTTTACACAATAACCACATATATTTATAATTTTCGTGAAATTCATGAAAAATTTTTCTTTAAATTTTTCTATAAACGATGTAGTAAAAATTTATTTTCAATCTTCTTTTTTTTTTTACTTTTCTTCTCTGAAACAAAAGTGTTGATGGTATATGCTTTCCTTGCTACATACATACATGTAATACGGTAAGTACTAACTATCAAGTATATGTATATGTTTGCATACAAATCTTTATAAATTTTGTATAAAAATGTCCTGAAATCTATTTTTGGATCAAAAATTTTGTAGAGGGAAAATTATCTGTTTACACGGTTTTATTTAATATATTATATACATATATTATTCATAAGTATATATAAGTATATTTTTTTTTTGATATATAAAAATATATTGTACTATAATCATTACATACATATTCATTTATGTATACATAAATATATTATTACATATATAATTACTATATATAAGATCTTACGTGGCCTGTATACATATAGGTAACAAATATATATCTATGTGTTTGTATCTGCATATATATGAATATAATTATTACTATTATTAAATACAAACTATATATATTTTTCCTTTTAATAAACATTATATATATAAACGAATATATAGATGTATTTGTATACCGATATGAACAGTTTTTGTGCGTGAAATTGTTGAAATTACCTTTAAAAAAGGATTTCAATTTGATTCAACTGGATAAAAAATTGTACATACTTATTTACGTCTATTAAATGAATGTATATATTTAAATATATAATTTTTTTTTCGTACGTAAACAAGCGCATATATATACCCCACACGTAGTATATATAACGACATATCGAAAAGAAGAAAATTAAAGCAAAAATTACAAGGTACTCATACGTACATGTGTGTATGCTTATAATTTTTGTATATTTTTACAAACGAGATTTAAAGTTGAA